GGCTCCATTGTTCAGTGTCATCTGTATTAATGTGTTGTGTTTGCCAAGTGGTAAACTTCTTACTAAGTGATTTAGATTGGTCTGTAATTTCCCAGGAACTTTAAGCAATATTAAATTTGATAAAAAAGGGCTGGAGAGATGGCTCAGAGGTTAAGAGCACTGACTGTTCTTTCAGAGGTCCTGAGTTCAATTCCCAGCAACCACATGGTGGCTCACAACCATCTTGAATGAGATCTAGTGCCCTCTGCTGGCGTGCAGGCAGAAGACTGTATACGTAATAAATAAATAAAAAAATCTAAAAAAAATTTTGATAAAACAATTGCAATAACTCACCTATTGATTAAATGTAACTAATGTTTGAAATTAGAATTTAGTTAAAGGAAAATGACTCTCACAGGCTTCCATTTTGTTTCTCTTTAATGAGGAATAGTTAAATTCAGAATGATTAGACACAGAAAACCAAGTTTTAAGGCAAGTGTCATAAACTAGATAGACTACCCTTAAAAATACTTTTTCTTTTGTTTGTTTTTGTTTTTCGAGACAGGGTTTCTCTGTAGCTTTTGGAGCCTGTCCTGGAACTCTGTAGACCAGGCTGGTCTTGAACTTATAGACATCCACCTGCTTCTGCCTCCTGAGTGCTGGGATTAAAGGCATGCACCACCACTGCCAGACAAAAAAAATGCTGTGTGTGTGTGTGTGTGTGTGTGTGTGTGTGTGTGTGTGTGTCTGAGTGAGTTTGTGTGCTTATGTGTGCCATGTGAGCTGAGTTCCTGAGGAGGCTAGAGAGTGCCCTGGAACTACAGTTATAGATAGATGAGTGCTGGGAATTGAACCTGGGTCCTCTGAAGAGCAGTAAGCACTATGATCACGGAGCCATTTCCCCATGCTATCCTTTGAAAGTTATCACCACTCTTCATGTGCAGTGAAGATATAAGTTAAGGATTTCTAAGGGGGGGGTACAAATCCGTGTCGAATAGTACAATATCAGAGGACAAATGGAAAATCCCCTGATAACGAGCCTTGCATTTTTCTTGTTCTTGCAGTAATAAAAGACTGGTGGCCTTAGTGCCCATGCCCAGTGACCCTCCCTTCAATACCCGAAGAGCTTACACCAGTGAGGATGAAGCCTGGAAGTCCTATCTGGAGAACCCCCTGACTGCGGCCACCAAGGCAATGATGAGCATCAATGGTGACGAGGACAGTGCAGTTGCCCTGGGCCTTCTGTATGACTACTACAAGGTGGGTCCTGGGCCAGCTTCCCTGCCTCCAGGGCCTCATTTTATCCATGGCAAGTGGGACAGGTTCTTTGTTCCAGGTTGGTGGGCTTAGGTGGAATTGTCCTTTTTGTTTACACTCAGAAGTTTAAATTAGGGAACACTTATTTCTTTAAAAAATTTGTCTATATATGTATCTGTCTCTGTCTCTGTCTCTGTCTCTCTGTCTATGTGTTTGTGTGTTTGTGTGTGTGTGTGTGTGTGTGTGTAGCTTCTATAGAAGCCAGAAGAGGGCGGTAGATCTCCTAGAGGTTCAGTATTATTTATTTCCCTTCTGTCATTTTACTTTATGGTCAGGAGCTTCGCTTTATGTGGCTGTGTCGTGATTGTCAGCTATCAGCATTTGCTTGTGTCTTTCAAAAGAAACATTTGGGTGCCCTAGATGCCTCTGTTTTCTGGGCCTCATTCCCGTGAGTGCGCTCATGAGGGACTTTCCGCGATTCCAGCCATGACTGTCTCCATTTGTTCTCATTTTGAAAAAAAAATCCTTAAAACGGAATGCAACATTAGAAGAAATACTAGCCAGACAGTAGTTTTAACATACGAGCATCTCGGGAGGTTAAACAAAGAAACAGCAGTGGGTTTTAAGTCTAAAGAGTTATGGCCCGCCCTCTGAGAACTGTTGTGTGTAAAAGGTGAATGAGTTATACTTTAAAAAGGAGTATGATTGGCTTCTCTGGCTGGAGATGCCTTTGGCAGAGTTGGCAGAATGGTGGG